GGGAACCTGCAAGATTAATGGACCCGCAGCGCACCCCACTTCTGCCATGAATTCAGTAGGTCCCTAAGCATACCAGAGAATTTTAGCACCAGGGGGTGAGGAGTTGGGGAAGAGTCTCACCAGAGACTTGAAAGACCCCATGGCACACATTCTCCCTTCACACTGGGGATTGTTGCTACTACTGCCCCATGGGCTCCCTGCACACTGGCAGTGACCTTATGCTGCCACTGCTGCTGCTGGACCTGCCCCATAAACTCCTCACATGCTGGTGGCTGTTTCTGCTGTGGCTGTACATTCTGGCATATCCTGTAAATTGGTACCTGAGCTGTTGTCTTGTTCTCCCAGCTCTTGTTACACTACTGTGCTGTGGAGCCTTGATTACCTGACCAGGTGGACTTCTGAGGACTCTTCAAAAGAAGGTTGAACTGGAGTAAGGAATACCTCTTTCAGAAAGTTTTTCTAAATGGTCTATATTCTCTTGTGCCTTATTATCATTAAATAACAAAAACATTCAGAAGTCCTTTGCAAAAGCCATGTCTACAATAGTTCATATGTTACACTTATCAAATGCCCCCTGAGGAGGTATGCTACAAATGAGAAACCTCATCCCTCTAGTTGTGAGTTCTCAAAAATGTGTTTAAGCTACTAGAGTTTTATTTGGTGGGAGGGGAAGGTCAGTACTGATGCTAGCAGGGCCTACAACAGTTGACTTCTGGAGCTTATTTTCTGTGAGGGGAGGTTTATCAGGAAATGGCCAGAGAGGAAAAGAAGGAAACCATGCAACCTCCTGAGATCCAGAGCTGCTCAGAGTCTGTGGGGACCTAGAATAGTAGTCGGTGTCCAGAGGGGGAGAATTTAACATAGGTTTATGGGTCTTTGTAATCTAAATAATGTTCTTTTAACATAAGTAATGATTAAAACCTCTTCCTAATTCTTAAAGTAACATTATCCTTCTATACTACATGTGCACTGCACTTTTGTTGCTGTAGTTTTGTTTAAATGAAGCTTCTGCGCCACACGTATAACACAGAAATATTATTTCCTCCTTTAGTATCCTTCCAGCATACATATAAACAGCTGCCATTTCATTTTCTAGTCACTGTTTACACCCTGTTCTTGTAGTTTCTCATGAAAAGCTCTACTTTCCAAATTTTTTATAGTTTTTTTGTTGTTGTTCTTTTTGAATTTCCTACAGTATTTTAGCGTTCGCTTAACAGGAAGATTACCATGTGGTAGATATCAGAAAGTCTGAAGTCAAAGTTCTGAGTAACCTATAAACTAAACTTGAACTTTGGTAACCATTTTCTAGTGGGGGTGGGGAAAAAACCCGTTTCGAGCTTTATTTTAAAAACTGATTTATTTGCCTCATTCGAGGAGAGAAATAGTTTGCAGTTTTTGAAGTAGCCATGATCAGTATCTAGGTTTCTTGTTTTTAAATAGAATGAGTAATTTGATGATAAGCAACAATTGCTACATAGAGTTAGTTTTTAGCTAGGGTTACCATACATCTGAATTTTCCTGGACGTGTCCTCTTGTTGGGTCATCCCATCTCTGTCCAGGTGTTTTTTTTAAATAACAACAAATGTCTGAGATTTTTGCTCTGCTCAATATCAAAGTTTTCCCCAGCACTTCACAGCTTGCCCTAGCAAGCAGTTACTTAGGGCTGGCGGGAGGGCAGTTGGAGGCAGAGGGCTGGCGTGCAGCCAGGCAGGGTGGTGGGAACAGCCCCAGCAGCTGCATATAGGTAAGTGTATGTGGGGCAGGGGTTGAAAGCTGTCTGAGCACTGGGGTGCAACAGGTTTGGGGAGGAGGGGGAGGCACCTGCCTCTCCAACAGGGGAAGGGAGTGGTGGGGGGGGGGGGGGGGCTCAGGGGGGGGGG